AAAGAAGTAGCAGTAATTCTAAGGAAACTTTTCAGTCTCCGAATCAGCAAGAGACATTTGGTTTTGAATTGAAAATGGTTAATGTTGAGTAGGAACCCTGGTGGCACAGTGGTTAAAGCGCTTAGCCGCCAACCAAAAGATATGTGGTTCAAATTCACCGGCAGCTCTGTGGGAAAAAGCTGTGGCATCCTGCTTTTGTAAAGATTTATAGCCTTGGAAACCCTAGATGGCAGTTTTCTTGTGTCCTGTAGGGCTGCTATGAGTTGGAATTGACACAGTGGATTTGGTTTTTGGTTTTAAGGTTGTTGTTGTTATGTGCCATCGAGTTGGACCTGACTCATAGCGACCCCTCCTTGGGTTTCTGAGGCAGTATCACTATGGAAGTAGATTGCCCAACCTTACTTCCGAAGAGTGGCTGGTGGGCTTGAACCGCCAGTCTTCTGGTGAGCAGTCAAGTGCCTTAGGCACTACGCTACCAGAGTTCTCAGGTTTTAAGGTTAAGTGCAGCAAAGTACATTATCTTGAAGGTAATTGGATTATAGCTACTTCAGAAGTTAGGTAATTTTCAGGTCTTCTCAGCTTTTTGATCTATTGCTTAGAACACCTGTCATTAATAAAACTGAGTCAGAGACCCATAGTTTATATCATTAATCTTTCTTTGATCATTCTGAGACCACTGTATTTTGCTTCATCTCCCCCCTCCCCTGTTGATTAGTAATTTAGATTGTATAGCATCATGCAGTGGCTGAGTTGATACCATCTCTATTGGATACCAAGTAAACATCCTGAACCGTTTGTCTGCCATTATCTTACTCTTCATGTTTGTTTCTGCAAGCATTTCCCACTTTTTATTGTTATTAGGTGCCATGGAACTGGTTCCAGCTCATAGTGCCCCTATGTACAACAAAATGAAACACTGCCACTGTATCAGTCCATCTCAATGAGGGTCTTCCCCTTTTGCATTGACTCTCTACTTTACCCAGTATGATATCCTTCTCCAGGGACTGGTCCCTTCTGACAGCGTGACCAAAGTATGAGAGATGAAGTCTGACAATTCCTGGTTCTAAGGAGCATTCTGGCTGTACTTCCTCCAAGACAGATTTGTTTGTTCTTCCATTGGTGTATGGGATATTCAATATTTTTCGGCAACACCATAATTAAAAGACATTAATTTTTCTCCTGTCTTCCTTATTCATTATCCAGCTTTCCACATGCATATGAGGCAATTGAAAATACCAAGGTTTAGGTCAGGCTTACCTTAGTCCTCAAAGTGACATCTTTAACTTTTAATACTTTAAAGAGATCTTTTGTACAGATTTGTCCAATGCAGTGTATCATTTAATTTCTTGACTGCTGCTTCCCTGGGTATTACTGATTATGGATGCAAGTAAAATGAAATCCTTAACTTCAATCTTTTTCCATTATCATGATGTTGCTTATTGGTCCAATTGTGAGGATTTTTGTTTTCTTTATATTGAGGTGTACTGAAGGCTGTAGTCTATGATCTCCATTAATAAGTACTTCGAGACATCTTCATTTTCAGCAAGCAAGGTTGTGTCATCTGTATGTTGTGCGTTATTGATGAATCTTCCTCCAATCCTGATGCTGTGTTCTTCTTCATGCATTCTAGTTTGTTGGATTATTTGTTCAGTGTACAGACTGAATAAGTATGATGAAAGGCTACAATCTTGAGGCACTTCTTTCCTAATTTTAACCTACACGGTATCCCCTTGCTTTGTTTGAACTATTGCCTGTTGGTCCGTGTGCAGATTTTATTTGAGCACAATTAAGTGTTCTGGAATTCTTCACAATGTTATCCATAATTTGTCATGTTCACACAGGTGAATGCTTTTGCAGTCAATAAAACACAGGTAGACATCTTTCTGTTATCCTCTGACTTCAGCAAAGATATCCCTCATCCCATGTCCTCTTCTGTATCCAGCTTACATGAATCCCAATTACATGAAGAAAGTGTATTCATACCTAATAGTTAAGTGTAGGAATTTAATTAGAATGTTTTCCCCATAAGTGAACTTCTCCAGAAAGAAGAAAAGTAACGCAAAACTTGGAAAGTTCAGTTCTGTATGTGTGAAACCTACTGCCAAGTCGATTCTGACTCATAGCAACATTATAGGACAGAGTACAATTGCCCCATAGGGTTTCCAAGACTATAAATCTTTTACAGAAGCAGACTGCCTCATCTTTCTCCTGCACAGTGGCTGGTGAGTTCAAACTGTAAACCTTTTGGTTAGCAGCCAGATGCTTTAACCACTGCAGCACCAGAGCTCCTTGCATATGTGACAGAATTGGGAATAAGTTGGCATTGTCCCTCTATCTTGTTTTCAACTGGGTTCTAAGCTTATTTTTGATAGGTAATCAGTGCCGTTTGGGTGTTAGTTGGTACATATTCAAAACTAGTACCTATTAAGACCTTTAAGAGGTGTTTATTTAAACAATAAAGAAACATGTTTGGGCTAAAAAATTTTTATTCAGCTTTATGGAATTTTAAGCTCTCTTCAGAACAAAATGAGTATTTGAAGTTTTGATAAATCTAAGACAGTCACTTTCTTTTCTTTCTTTATCGCTTACCCTTAGCCTCCGTGAAAGTAGGCTGTGGGGAAGTTAAAAACAACAAACTGCTCTGTGTTTATTGAATGAAAGTCAGCCATGCATGTTTATCAGCTGTTTTCCCTCTTGGAAGCTAAACTGTTCGAAAATGAAATCTGGTTTCTAGACAGCTTGGTTTATAAATTATGAGAATTATTTTTCTGGAGGTTTGTGTTCTTACTGTTGGCATTTTTCTTTGCACAGGGAAATTCTAAAAAGAACAAGAGCCGATAGTTTACAGATGGCTGGTTGGCGACTATTCTTCCTAGAGCTCCTGCCGCCGCTGCCCAGAACTACAGGGCCAAGACTCCACATCCACGCCGGGCTCTGCCTGCAGGAAGCTGGAGTGTGGTGGGACCTAGTGCACTAGTCAGTGTTGTACATGGCTTTGACACATTTAAAATATATTTGTAACCAGTGAAGCAAATACAGAATTTGATGTTGACAGTGAAATGGAAAACAGTACACATACCATGGATACTGTAGGTTTCCTTAAGCTGTTTTTACTGTGCAGTTTTTAAAATTAGGTTTTAATTTCAGTCTGTGACAACAATAAATATTTTGTATATTTTCAAAACCCAATTATATGGTAATCAATTTGGTATGTATGGAATTGATATACGTTTCTGGATAAAAGGCTTACATTGTCAAATTGTCCTTACCTTTTGCTATAATTGAAAGCAGTCTCCAGATTCTTTTTGAAGACTTTACCATTCTCTCTCTTTCCATCTCTCTTTTTCTCTTTCTCTCTCTCTCTTTCTCTCTCAGGGGGGGAGAGAGTGGGTTTTGCAAATTTCAGATCTTATGGGTTTATTATCATTGTCTTCAGCTCTTCAGTCACCCTGTGTTAGAATAATAGCTTAAGGAAATTGATGTCAATAAATTCATACTTATATCAAACTGTCAGTCTCTGTATGAAAATTTGATAAAGAAAACTAAAACCTATTAAAGTAGAATTTACAAAATTTACAATAATCACAAATCCCAATTGACTTAGATATAATCTTTCTAATTCCCCCAAATTGGAACCATTGCAAAGTTAGTCAGTCCTTCATTAGAGCTCTTAAGTTTTGCCTTGAGAATTACTTGTCACCACCATTCAAGCAAGGACCTTGAGTCCTTTCAGCCTCCCTTTGTTTGTCTCATACACTTTATACCTCAGAGGTGTCTCTCTCAGCACCTCTACTCCCAAGGCCCTAAATATATTGCTCCTTTTTTCTGAGTTGCTTGCACAGGCCCATTTCACCACAATGGTCAGCTCCCCAGATTAGCCGAGGTTTTCCTGATACACCTTCCTCACCGCTTCCTGCCTCAAGCTCCATCTTCCTTGAGCTTTTCCTCTAGACAGTTGCCAGTCACTCTCCAAAATGCTTTATTCTCACCTGAGAGCCTCTCACTGGCTCTTTGCTCAGCACAAGGGCCAACTCCTTGGCCTCTGCCCCAAACCCTCAGCTGCCAGTGGTAGATTGACTCTCTGTCAGTGCACTGGTTAAGTGCTTGACTGCTAATCAGAAGATTGGCAGTTCAAATTCACCAGCTGCTCCATGGGAGAAAGATGTGACAGTCTGCTCTGGTAAAAATTACAATCTTGGAGACCCTATGGGGTAATTCTATGAGTTTCTATGAGTCAGAATCAACTTAAGGCAATGGGTTTGGTTTTTCAGTTTGGCCAATGATAGAGAGAGCTCTGGTTGCCCAGAACCCTCAACAGCAATGAAGAGTTTGGATCCTGCCTTGAGGATCTCTGGGTTTGTCACTTCAGTGCCACTCTTCCCTAGCCCTCTTGACCTTTCTGTTTCTCGTTCCCTGCCCATTTCTAGTTTTCTGTCAGCTCAACCAGCTGTTTTCACTGCACAGGTGTGCAGGCCCCTGAGCACTCTCAGGGAAATGTCAAGTAGCCCTACTGCCCAGCTCTATCACGCACCTAGGATTTCTAGCCCCATAGGCCCTCCATGGCCCATAACAGGCTTTTTGGTATTTCTAATTCCATTTCTGTTCAAGTTTCAATACTGGCTGCACCATTTATCTGCTGAGGCTCTGTAGCCTCACTTGCAGAATCTGCACAATCAAAGTCAGAGCCAGCACAGTGAGTATTCCTCAACCTCCATACTCACACTGACGTTTGCCTTTCTTTATTGCTCTCCTGCTTCAGAGGAAGAGGGGTCCCTGCTACCCATAAAGCTAACTTATTTTCTGATGCTTAATGCCACTCCTTTAGTAGCGCTTGACTCTTTTATATTTTCAATTTTTCTTCTGGTGACTCCCTTCCCCCAGTTTACAAACAGATTGAACTTATCCCTAACTTTTAAAAAGTTTTCATTCAACCCTAGTTTAGAATACACTTACTCTGGAGCCACACTTCCTGAGTTTGACTCCTTATCCTTAGAGATGAGTTACTTGGCATTTCTGTGTGTTGGTTTCCTTTTCTGTAAAATGGAGATAATAGTGGTGCCTCCCTTCTAGCGCTTTTGTGAGGATTAAATGAATTAATATTATAAATTGCCTAGAAGAGTCCCTGGTATAAATGTTACTTGGTAATTATTGTAACTAGTAATATTATTATTGCTCCTACTTTTATTTCTTTTTCCCCTTCCTTTGTTCATATTCTTTCCCATATACTACTAGACTTCCTGGAAGAGTAGTCTATATTGTCTTCCCACCTTCACCATGACCCATTTGTTCCTTAACCTGAGATAGTCAACCTGTGCCCACTGTTCTAATAAAATTGTTCCAACAAATGTTGCCAGTGACCACCTCATTACCGAGTCCAGTCACTTCTCTTCATCTGTGCTCTTGCCCGTTTTCTGTAATGTAGAATGCTCTTACCCACTTTCTCTTTTGAAACCCTCTCTCTTTCCCCTAACTTCTTCAACACTTCTTTCTTTTCTATTCTTGTTTTACTTTCCTCTGAAAATTTCTTCTCAATCTTATTCTCTGACTGCACCTCATCTATCTTTAGTTTAAACGTTAATGTTTCCCAAGGTTTTTGTCCTAACTTATCTTGGTGAGTCTTTGCCAATAACTTGTCAAATCTCTCTGTCCAGTTTTAAGCTCTTCTGAGCTACACCTTGCACTCCTGCTGCCTTATGAACTCTGCCTGGATGTCCTGTAGGGCAGCTTACAAATCAAGAGGTTCGCTCAATGGTTTCATCCACTTTCTCCCTCTTCTCTACTCTTCTATCCATCCCGCCAGACTTATTTCTCATCTGATACTCATTTATTCATGTAACAAGTATTCATTGAATTCCTATTATATATCAGATACTATTCTAAATTCCTAAGTACTGGAATACAGAAAAAAAAAAAAAAAAAAAAGACCTGCCCTCATTGAGCTATCTCAATGTGGATAACAAACAATAAGGAAGTAAAACCTATAATGTGCTCTAAGGTTGTAAGTGCTGAGGAGACAAAGCCAGGAAGGAGACAGAGTTGGTAGGATGTTGCACTTTTAGTTTGAGAGCCCGGGAAAGGCCTTACAAAGATGTGACAATAGGGCAAAGACTTGGAGAAGATGAGGGTATGAACCACATAGATACCTGAAACGTGTGTTTCAGGCAGCAAGAATAGCAAATGCTAAGGCCAGGGGTGGGAGTATGCCTTAAAGTCCAGGAACAGCAAGGAGGCCTGCATAGTTGGAGTGATTTGAGCAGGGTGAGAGCACCAGGAAATGAGGTTGTAGTACCAAACTTCTGGTTAGCAGTCAAATGCCTTAGGCATCGAGCCACCAGAGCTCCTGGTAGAGGTAATGGGGCCAGAGAACAGTGTAGGTTGTGGTAGAGTTTGGTTTCTCCTCTTTGAGTGTTAATGGAAAACCTTCAGAGGGTTGGGGACAGAGGACTGACTGACATCTGACTTACATGTTTTAAGAGAATTGTTAGCTGCTGTGCGTAGAGCTTTGGTGGCATAGTGCCTAAGGCATTTGACTGCTAACCAGAAGCTTGGTGGTTCAAACCCACCAGCCACTCCACAGAAGGAAGACTGGGCAGTGTACTTCGTAAAGATTTACTGCCTCGGAAACCCAAAGTGGGTCGCTATGTGTCAGAATTGACTCAATGGCAGTGAGTTTTGGTGCTTAGGTTGTAGGGAAGCAGAGAGATTGGTTAGGAGACTAGTGCAATAATCTAGATGAGAGATGATGGTGGCTGGGAACGTCCACGGTGGTCGCAGTGGAAGTTGTACAAAGCTGGCTTCTGCATTTATGGTGAAGATAGAGTTAATCGGATTTGCTGACAGGTTTATGTAAACTTGCAGCTCTTTTCACCTGTTCTCTGTTCTTCCCTGCTTTATTTTACTCCTTAGTTCTTAGCATAATCTAACATGCTATATGTTCTGGTTATTTTTCTTATTTATTGCCTGTTCTAACTTTAGAAGATAAAGCTCTGTGAAGGCAGGATTTTTGTGTGGCTTATTCACTGTTGTCGAACACTCCCTGGCATGGGGAAGGCATTCACTGAATATTTGTGGGATGAATGTTGATGGGACTGGATGAGGGTATGAAGGAGAGAGAGAAGTCAAAGATTTTGGCCTGAGCAAACTTGGCTGAGAGAGGGAAGCCTGAGGGAGGAGCAGCTAGCCTCCACCTAGCAGTAACCTAAGCCAGAGACCTGGAATCTTCTTGGATCCCTCCTCACCACACATATTTCAGTGGTTATCTTGTATTACTGGATCTTCTACCTTTGTAACATCTCTCAGTTCCTACTTCTCCCTACTCCATACCCTAAATTCATCCTTCAGTGACCATAGTCTGGACCACTCATCTTTCTCTACTTCAGGCCTCCTACCCATCTACCAGAGCATCTTTCTAATACACGTCTGAATTGCCCTTTTCCTGATTAAAAGCCTTCAAGATGGCTCCTCATTGTGTCATTTCATGAATGTCCTGCAGACTTTCACCCCACTATGCCTTGGTTCCTGCTCTTCTCTCTGGTGTTGATACCCTTCCCTGCCTTCCCCACCCACATCCAGATTCCTGCACATCCCTCCTGTTGTAGTTAAGGTTGTGTGTCAACTTGGCTGGGTCTGGTTTAGAGTGGTTGGGCATCTGGATGTAGTTATCCCCTATGATGAGACTGGTAATCAGCTCCAGTGATTGGTGGAATCTGTGAGCATCTGGGTAGTTGCCTTAGGGATGCGGTCTGGTTCCAGTATGTAAGAAGAAGCTTTGAGAAAAGTCTGGAGCTTTCTGGTATGCTTTGATCCTGCGTTTAGCCAAATCTTCATTCAGCAGTCCACTG